TTAAGAAGTTAATATGTCCTTCACAGCTTTGCTTCTTTATGCCTCCACTAGCTGACCCAAGTTTCCAACAGTAAAGACGTCTTCAGGTGTCACTCCAGACAAGGGACTCCTGTGAAAAGGTGCTAAAGGTTTTCAAACACCCACAAGGTCTTGACCACTTTGTGGAGGATGACAGGTGCACTAGGCAATAGCAGAGACTTGATGTTCGTTTGATCTCTTTGTGACCATTTCTCTACCAGTCACAATAAGGTGTGGGAAGTAGCAATTATGTTGTCTCCAGGCAGCACTGCAAATTTACTCACTGAAATGAATACTTGACCTTTCTCACTGTTGTGCTGGATTGGCTCGAAGAGTGATGGCCAACGACAGTGCTGATGGCACAGGCAAGGCGGAGCAGGGGACCCTGCAATTAGGAGGAAGGATGTCCCTAGGGAAGACTGTGGAGGGTGGGCAGGGGGCCTCAGACCCCTTCCTGCCAGACCCGGAGATCCCCCAGGAGGCAGCAAGAGTCATCAGGAAGAGCTGAGTCATCTCCCTAATGTTTTCTCCACTTAACCAGCACATTAAACGGGACCCCATCCCCACCAGATAGATCCATCACCACCTGCATCCCCCCAAACAAGCGCTCAGCCAAAGTTAAATCAATTTCGGTGAGTGTTGCTACAGAGCAGCTTATCGGAAGTACTAGCTGTTATAGATCAGGACCAGCGTAGACTGATAACAAAAACCCGCCGTGCACTCATGCAGTGTTTTAACATTTTCACAGTGCTTTTAAATTTTATCTTCACCACACTGTGAACAAGATAAAGCAGACAGGTATCAGTTCCATTTTATAGATAAGAAATTCAGTTCAGCCGCTCAGTCATGTCCGACTCTTCTGACCCCATGGACTGCAGCACGCCAGGCCTCCCTGTCCATCACCAACTCCCAGAGTTTACTCAAAGTCATGTCCATTGAGTCAGTGATGCCATCCAGCCATCTCATCCTCTATCATCCCCTTTTCCTCCCGCCTTCAATCTTTCCCAGCATCAGGGTCTTTTCCAATGAGTCAGTTCTTCACATCAGATGGTCAAAGTATTGGGGTTTCAGCTTCAGCATCAGTCCTTCCAATGAACACCCAGGACTGATCTCCTTTAGGATGGACTGGTTGGATCTCCTTGCAGTCCAAGGGACTCTCAAGAATCTTCTCCAACACCACAGTTCAAAAGCATCAGTTCTTCAGCACTCAGCTTTCTTTATAGTTCAACTCTCATATCCATACATGATTATTGGAAAAACCATAGCTTTGACTAGATGGACCCTTGTTGGCAAAGTAATTTCTCTGCTTTTTAATATGCTGTCTAGGTTGACGATAACTTTTCTTCCAAGGAGCAAGCGTCTTAATTTCATGGCTGCAGTCACCATCTGCAGTGATTTTGGAGCCCAAAAAAATAAAGTCTATCACTGTTTTCACTACTTCCCCATCTATTTGATGTGAAGTGATGGGACCAAATGCCACGATCTTAGTTTTCTGAATGTTGAGCTTTAAGCCAGCTTTTCACTCTCCTCTTTCACTTTCATCAAAAGGCTCTTCAATTCTTCTTTGCTTTCTGCCTTAAGGGTGGTGTCATCTGCTTATCTGAGATTATTGTTATTTCTCCCGGCAATCTTGATTTCCAGCTTGTGCTTCATCCAGCCCAGCATTTTACATGATGTACTCCACTTATAAGTTAAATAAGCAGGGTGACAATATACCGCCTTGACATACGTCTTTCCCGATTTGAAACCAGCCTGTTTCTCCATGTCCAGTTCTAACTGTTGCTTCCTGACCTGCATACAGGTTTCTCATGAGGCAAGTCAGGTGGTCTGGTATTCCCATCTCTTTCAGAATTTTCCCCAGTTTGTTGTGATCCACACAGTCAAAGGCTTTGGCATAGTCAATAAAACAGAAGTAGATGTTTTTCTGGAACTCTCTTGCTTTTTCAATGATCCAGCGGATGTTGGCAATTTGATCTCTGGTTTCTCCAACTTTTCTAAATCCAGCTCAATTCACATACTGTTGAAGCCTGGCTTGGAGAATTTTGAGCATTACTTTGCTAGCAAGTGAGATGAGTGCAATTGTGCGGTAGTTTGAGCATTCTTTAGCATTGCCTTTCTTTGGGATTGGAATGAAAACTGACCTTTTCCAGTCCTGTGGCCACTGCTGAGTTGTCCAAATTTGCTGGGATGTTGAGTTAGCACTCTCACCGCATCACCTTTTAGGATTTGAAACAGCTCAGCTGGAATTCCATCACCTCCACTAGCTTTGTTCATAGTGATGCTTCCTAAGGCCCACTTGACTTCACACTCCAGGATGTCTGGAACATTCCAATGAATATTCAGGACTGATTTCCTTTAGGATGGATTAGTTTGATCTCCTTGCAGCCAAAGGGACTCTCAACAGTCTTCTCCAACACCACAGTTCAAGAGCACCAATTCTTCAGCACTCAGCTTTCTTTATGGTCCAACTCTCACATCCACACATGACCACTGGAAAAGCCATAGCCTTGACTAGACAGACCTTAGGTAGATAAGAAAGCTGAGGGCAAATGAGCTGCCCTTGATCATGATGGCTGGATGCTCTATGGTGTATTCTCCATTCTAGTTCCAAAGGTTCCAGATCGGGCATTGCCAGGTACTCCCTGCTGGCCAAGATTCACTACTTACCCTCTCTCAACCTTGGTTCCTCATTTTAAAACTAAAACACTGACCTTAAAACTTATCTCAAAAGGCTGTTGACAGTTTGAATGAGGTGACGCCAATAAGGCACCCAACACAGTAACTGGCAAAAGATAAGGTCTTAAAAAAATTAGAGTTATTAATATTGGTACTCATATTTAGAGGCCATGAAATATTAAGCAATGCATGCAAAGCCAAAATGTGTTGATTTCAGCAGCTCTCAAAGGGAACAGGAAAATATTCAAATTCTCCTAAGTATTTACAAAAAAAAAAAAAGTTTTCTCCACCAGAAATAAAGCCAGAAGACAAAACAATCTCATTAAAGGAATATAAAACATGCACTTTCAAAACATATCCTTTAAAATGTAGTGTATATTATTCAGCCTTAAAAGAAGGAAATCTTGCCATTTGGGACAACACAGATGAACCCAGAGGACATTATGCTAAGCGACATAAGCCAGACATGAAAGACAAATACTGCAAGGGCTCTCTTATATGTAGAATTTAAAACAGTTGAGGACTTCCCTGGGGGGCTCAGATGGTAAAGAATCCACCTGCCAATGAAGGAGACGCAGGTTCAATCGCTGGGTCAGGAAGATCCCCTGGAGTAGGGAATGGCTACCCTCTCCAGTATTCTTGCCTGGGAAATCCCATGACCAGAGGAGCCTGTGGGGCTATTGTCCATGGAGATCACTTAGCAACTAAACAAGAAGAAGAAATACTTGAACCCATAGAAGCAGAGAGCTGAACGGTGGTTGCCAGAGGCTGGGGAGAGGCACTGGGGGAAAACAGGCTTCAGGATGAAGGGCTGTGTGAACAGCTGAGAGGGGAGAAGAGATGTTAGCTAAAGGATACAAAGTTTCAATTATGCAAGATGAACAGACTGGAGATCTAATGTACAGCAAGGTGACTACAGGTAACAATCCTGAATTGCATACCTGAAATTTGCTCAGAGTGGAGATCGTAAGTATTGTCACCAAAAAGGAAAATAAAAAGGTAACAATATGAGATGATAGATACATTAATTAGCTTGAGTGTGGTTATCATTTCACAATGTACCATATATAACAACATCAAGTTATACACCTTAAATATATACAATTCCTATATGTCAATCATGTAACAATAAAGCTGGTGGGGGGGCGGACATATCATTTATATAATGAATTTCAGCAGCTGACCTCATGTCTCCGAAATTCCATTTAATAAGAAAGAATCTGGAAGGTGGAAATTAAAATACTTTTCCAAAGTTAGATAGGAGACCATTTGTCCAGCCGTGTGAAACAACACATCAAAAAAAAAAAAAAATCCCAAAACAAATGTAAACTTCCTGAGTGGAGGGATTATGGTCTGTCTTGCTAGTTTTGCTGTGACCCCAGGGCCAAGAACAGTTCCTTCACATAGTAAGTTATCAAAAAGAATTGTGTGTTGATATTAAAAATATTGAGTGCTTGAGCATCTCAGATGTCATCAAGTAGATTATCCATTGATTATTTAACTTTCTGTTACTGGTCCATCCGCTCATTCACTTACTCAGAACATACCTACTGAACACCTGCCATGTACAAAACCCTGGGCTGGGTGCTCAGGGCAGAAATAGCAGAATAAGATCGCTGGCTCTAGGAGCTCACCCTCTAGGAGCTTACAATCTGCAGCAAAAAGAGGAAGGGAAAAGCAATGGGGTCCTAGGGTGAGGGGGGGGTGTGGAAGATGGTAAAGATGCCTGGTCTGTTATCTTTTGGGCATCTCCACTGGGTTCAATTTTCAGCACGAGGTTTGAGGACATCTGAGTCAATAACAAGCATTCTGTCGCAAAAGAAAAGGAAGAGAGGCGCTGGTTTTCTTCTCATTCTGCTCCACCGGTTTCTGCACCTCCAGTTTTTGGCTCTCCAGGGAAACACCAGGGGCCAAGCCAGATCGGATACTGGGGCGCTAGGCTGGACCCCTGGACCGGGCCTCCGACCGCAGGAGCCATAGGCCGCATTGTTGCTGCCGCCGCTGTTATTTTAATTATGATTGTACGTTAACCACCACCTTCCTTCCTCTGCCTCCCTTCGGCTGCAATGATGTATGTTACTTTTTGGTAACTGGATTTCATTAACATTTATGAACTCTCATAAAGTAGTAGAAAAAGCAATTTGTGTGGAAGAATTTTCCACCTCATTAAACAGTGTTCTTTTGGGGGTCAAGTTGATATTTTTTTTGTTGATTTTTTTTATAGGTCCTTTGTCCTTCCTTGAGCCCTGGGGGATGAAAGGAGAGCGGTCCACACTCGGCGGGGCTCGTGGGAGATATAGAGGGCGCTAGAGCGAGCGCGGGCCCCGCGCGGGTTTCAGCCCGGCTCCGATGCCCTCAGTCCCTGGAGGCCGCTCTGGGCCGCTGTGGCCTTGGCCCTCCTCGGCCCGGTCGGACCCCTCTGCCGCCTGCGCTGTAGACGAGCGGGGTGCTGTGTGGCCCGCGAAGGGGCGCGTGCAGTGGTCCCTGGGCCTCGGGGCTGCTTCCACCCGGGCGGAAGAGGCTGCTCCGGGCTTTCTCCCGGGCCGAGGTGCTCGGCATCTCAGCGCCTGGCAAGGACAGTCCCCAGCTCGGCTCTCGCCCTTCGACGGCCTCCACCCAAGCAGCCTCGCCCTGGAAGCTGCAACGCAGGCCTGGGGAAGTGGGAGCAGAGACCCAGCGGGGCCGGGGGGGGGGGGGGGCGGTCCGTCTTTTTCAAGCCTTTCCCGGCCTTTCAAGCTCAGTTGCATCTTCTAGCCACCGTCTTTTGGACCCAAAGAGCAGGCGTTTCTGCCCTCCTCCGCATCATTACCGCCCTCTGCCCCCAGACTGCAGGCCGAGCCGGCCTCGGTGCGCAGCGGGCCGCGGGGACTCCGGCACATCTCCGCCCGGCTGCAGGCGACGCCTTCATACCCCCAGCCGCCCCCCCCCGCCCCAAATCCCTCACCCACCCTCCGGGCCTGGGCGCCCCGGGGCGAACCAGCAGGCGCTCCGGAGCCACGGCAAAGGGCCGGCGGCGGGTGAGCCATGCCCGCAAGAGGGACCTCCCCTGGGGCCTGGAAGCTGGGTATTTGGCAGCAATCGCGAAAGGCCTTGGTTAGGGAGGCGTTCGGTCCCAAGCTGGACACAATAACCTGCCTGCGGGCCCGAGGGAAAGAAGTCAAAAGTCCTGGGCGGCCTTGACGCTTGGGGGAATAAAGCGGAGACCCCAAGACGCCGCGGCCTGAGGGCGCAGCCAAGTGACCCCGGAGCCAGGTGACAGGTGCTGGGGAAATGAACACGTGAGCACCGCCTTGCTGTGCTCTAAGGGTAAAAGTGGGAAACAGTGGTTGAAACTCAAGAATCTGTGTGTCTGCCTTGATTCAAAAACAACACCCTACTCTCGAAGAAACTGATTATTTGGCCCGTGAGATGTTTTTCTGCCAGACGGCTCCCAAATCAGATCTAATGAAAAGAGGCCTCTAAGAGCGGTCAGCAGGTGACCCGGGCAGGGGCAGGGGCGATTCGGCCCTCCGGCCTCCGGAGAGGCGGTCGCAGGGCCGGTGTGGACCGGGTCGGTGTGGACCGGGTCCCGGAGCTTCTCGGATTTGCTGAGTCAGCTACCGGCGCCGCGGGCTTGGCTGTTTTCAACCCAGGCGACTGTGCTTCGCTGACTGGTGTGTGTGACTTGGTGGTGTAATTATTGTTTTGTTTTCTAATATGTAATTACTCTTTGTCGTCGCTATTATGAATCCGCCGAGCCTGATTCGAGCGGCGAAATGGATGGAAGTTTGGGGTTAGGATTCGATGCGTGGGAAGTAGAGGCTTCTGCCTACGCAGAGGACGGGCGGCCCACGCCTCTCCTCCCCACCAGCCCAGCGGAGAAGGGGGCGCCTGGGGCTCCCTAGGTAACCAGAGGCCGCGAAGGTCGATCCCCAAAAGCCACACCCTTCTCTCTGAACAGGAATTGCTGAAGCTCTTTCTCTCTCTCTTCGGCATGTATATAAAGTAGACGATAGAGGCAGGGAGGAAAGGGGGAGGAGAGAAAAAGAAGACAGAAAAACAGATGAGCTGGAGAGTTGACAACAGGAAGGGGGGTTGATTTAGAGATGAGGAAGAGTAGACAGGAAAGTGTGGGGGAGAGGGAGGGGAGGAGATACACAAAGATGCTTGCTTATATTCAAATATTCCGTTCTTAGACTTGAAATTCTGGAAAATTCTCTCCTTTTCCCTCGTATTTACCTGCTTTAGTAACCCTCCTCCACCACCAGTGGCCGCTGGGTCCCAGCACTAACCGTCCCCACCCTTGCCCCTCTGCCCTGAGCCAGGCCCGCAGGGTCCTGTCCCACCCCCCGCCCCCACCCGACGGGGCGACCCCTCGCGCGTCCCCGAAGGTGCATCCATCCGAGGCCCTGCAAGTGCCAGAACAAAGGGCTGCCTCTACCCGCGGAGTCAGACGTCAGGGCTCAGCTCGGCGGCGAAGACCCCAGATCACTTCGCGAGCGGAAGTTCGCGGCTGGCCTGGGTGGGCACCGCGGCCCGGCCGGCTCGGCCCTGCCCACCGCGCTCTGAGGCCTGCGTGGCACGCGGTGCGCAGCCGTCGCCCTTGCGGAGGGACCTGCTGCCCTATGCCGGCGAGTGGGTCCGCCGGCCGAGGAGAGCGATCCATTCTCTATAACCGTTTACCCGAGAGCTGTCAGGTTAGCGCTGCCTCCTTGGCCGCCCAGAGAAGAAGGTGTTAAATTCTTTGCTCGGGAGTCTCCCCAGACCCAAATACACTGCACAGTGGCTTGGGCGGCGCTGACCGCCAATCCCTAACCTCGGCCACCTTCTCCCGTTGAAATATGCACATCGCTCTTCAATAATTTAGACACCTGGGAGACTGGACAAGGATAATTTTTTTTCCAAACACACGAGCATCCGGGTTGCCATCAATCATGCTTTGTTTCCTGTGAGATGGGCTTTGTGTGTTTAGCTGCCCGGCTCCATCCTATTTGCATGTGGCTATTTAATGGGCATTTATCTGAGCTTTGAAGATCTGCTTAAAAATCTAAACCCAGAGAAGGGTGGAGGGGCTCCCCCCTCTGTCCGTGGCTCGGGGGGACTTGCCTCTGGGGCCTCATCCTTTGAGAAGACGGGCCCTGCGGATCTCGATTACAGATGCATTTTGATTCCGAAGTGGGACTCGTAATGAAACGGATAGGTTCTTTTTCCTAAATCTCAGGGTTTCTTGCCAGCAAACAATGCTCCAGTCAGTATTTGTGTGTGAGACAAGTCAGTGTGCTCCAAACGCTTAAATTAATCATTGATGGGTGAAATTACACATGCTCACTTAAAGTGTAACGTGATTAAGAGATGATGAGGTTGAAGCTAATATCTCGTCTCCCAGCTCCTGGCCCCAAATCTTGACACCACAAATTTGTCAACTGCAACTGTCCTGAAATTTACAGATGGAATAGGCTTCTATTGACAACGAATCAAAAGACAACCTCTTAAAAAAATAAACATATGTAGGTGTGTGTCTCTATATTTTATTGGTGGTGGATTTCTTCTTAAAAGGACTGGAGAATAGAAAGAGACTGGAGGTGGTGGAGAGCGGGTGTTGGCTTGTTCGTCTCTGATTTTTGAAAAGTAAATGTGGGGGGCGGGGGAGGGCCGGGGCGGGCTCTATGTCTGCGAGCTGATTACTCCGGGTCTGAAAGCGGCTCCATTTCCCGCACGGTGGGTAAGTCCTTTATCAGGGGACGCCCCGGCCACGCCCGCAGCCATCCTTCGCCTCGAGGCGCGCGCTGGGCCGGGGCGCGGGAGCCGCTCGGCGACTCCGTAATGACCCGGGTTCGCCACAGCTGCGCCTTGACCCTTTGTGATGGCGCCGATAGCGCTCGGATGAAATTATGTCCTTCTCCGGGTGTGAAATTACCATGTTTATTAATTGAGCCAGACATTAGCTTTACCTTTTCTTTTTAAGCCGTGAAAATTTGTGATTCAGGGCAAATGATTCTCCGACAGACGCTCGGCCCGCGCGCCCCCTCCCCTTGCGATTCCCCTTCCCCCCACGTCCCGGGCAGTTGGAGAAAAGCTTTCCAGGTTTCCACGCTGGAGAAGCCCAAGGAGAAAATGCCAGCGGGGCCTCCGAGTGTGCGAGCGCGCGTGTGTGTCATCGCGCGCGCGGGGCTTCGTCTCCTTGGGTAGTATTAGCCGACAATAATAACAACCCCGACTCTGAATTACAGCCTTACCCCCAGAATCCTGGATCAAGAAAACCCAAATCGTTTTCAAGACAAAGCAGCATCAATCAGCGACAAGGACAGATTTAACGTATTAAATCTTTATTAAAGTGAAGTCATTCTTATTGAAATGATGTATTGGGTGTGTAGAAAGATTGGATTTTTTTTAACGGTGCTCAAGATGGAGATGGTGACGGAGAACCAGCGCTGCGTCCTGCCTTTATTGTTCTGGGCTTGGGGTTGGGTTACTGGGGCCCGTGCGTGGGGAACCCCGCCTTGGACTACGGGAAAGAGGCTGATCCCGTCCCTCCGCCCGCCCCCACCACCCCCCCCCCCCGCCCCGGTCCCCACTTCGATTTCCCGAAGCACAAGTGTCCCCGGCCCCCTTGGAAACTTCCCGGCTCGGTCCACGCTTCAGGGAAGCTGAGGTCTGGAGCGCAGCCTGGCTGCCAGAAAGTGAGCCAAGTCGACGACTCCGGAGGCCTGGAGAGGAGAAGGAACGCCCAGAGTGTCCGCTAGTTTTTGAGACGACCCTGTCCTTTCTTTGGAAGGTCCCAGCGCCCCCAGGTCCGAAGGGGACAGGGAGCGCGTGTTTGCTCTCAGAGGTCTCTCCTCCGGCTGTCTCCACCGCCTTCCCCTCCTCCCGGCAGGATGAAGGCAGGAGCTGACCGCTTCCCCGGCTAGAATCGACTCGCAATTGAACCGGCCCTTTGGACCTCGGGTCCTGTCAACGGCGAGGAAACCGTGATGCCAGAGAGTTCACACCAGAGTCCTTCCCCACTCCCCCACCCGCTGCGACAGGCTCCCCCAGAGTTTTCTTCGTAGCATCTTAAGTGACTCAAAATCTTATCCCCCCCCCGGGGGGGGGGGCCGGAGGGGGGTGCGGGGAGGTGGGGAATCAAAACCTGTGAGCTGCTTCCCAGTTTGGCAACCACAACTTCAAAAAGATGGATTTGTGTCTCCACCTCCAGACACACAGACGTCCACCCCGACTGAAAATGAACTGTTGGAATCAATTTCCTTGGAACACCCAACTTTTTTTTTTCTATCATATTTCAGCAATGGGCTGAACCGCTGTAGCCCCTTGATTCAATTTAGTATTTGCATAACCAGGGGAAGAGAGGTGGCTTTGCAGACTGGATGAATAGGTCTCTTGTTTGGGGTGTGTGTGTGTGTGTGTGTGTGTGTGTGTGTGTGTGTGTGTGTGTGTTATGGGGTTAGATTCTTAAATACATGTAGGGGAGGAGGCCAATAGAAAGGTGTTTCTAGGACTTTGTGACTACCCGTCAGTCAGACACAGGGAGGTCACTGCTTGGATGGAGGCAGACCGTTCTTTCCTGGACCCAAGCACTCTCTTCTCTTGTCCACCCATAGAATCTTCTAGATGGGAATATTTACTCATTGGATCTTTTCTTTTTTTCGTTCCAGACAATGCTGCTTTTAAAGATAAATTGCTTTGGTAAACTGAAACAATTCAGTGCCAAGGAAAGATGGCCATGCTGTTTTCTACTCTGCACACAAGAAAGGAAGATGCAGATTTTCAGGGCAGTCTTCAGAAATAGAGCCAGTTTTAATAGGATCCCAACCAGTGCACTAATTAAATATTTCACAGCTCCCAAAGTTAATGTGCTAACATTGGGATTCTTTTTCCACCAGATCAGACAAATTGGCCTTCTGTACCACCACCCCCCGCCCCAGCGAGCCCTCCCATACGCACACACACACACACACACACACACACACACACACTCCCAGCCACAAACTCCTACCAACTGGTTTTCTGAATGGCATTACAAAGAATTTTGTTAAAGAAAAGTCAGACTAATTGCTGCCAGAAGACCCGTCTCGTAGAGAAGTCTGGTTTTCATAAGCCAGATTCAGTAAGGCTTGTGGTTAAATCTAAGCCTAGTAGAAGGTTCTTAAGGTTTTCTCGGCAAAGGGGAGAAATACAAAGGAACACGAAGTTCAGCCAAAATATTCAGTGAGGAGGGAGGAGAAGGTAAGGAGGAAGAGGGATTCAGGAGGATACTCTGAACTCCTGTTTCCTTCTGGAAGGAACTCTTCTTGCTACCTTTTCTTAGGACTTTCTCCATACTTACTAACACCCACTGACATAGTTTCTCTAAGTAGCTCTAGTTCTGCACACAGACCAGTGACTTGACTCTCTTAACTGCCAAGGGCTGGGGAAGAATTTCCCAACCCCACCATTATCTGAGGCACCTCTGTGCTCCAGGCTTCTCCCTCAGACCTCCTGGTGGAGTTAGTAGCAAAAAGCCCCTTCAGAAACAAGCAGGTGGATTCCTCCCCTTCTAAGCCATGTCACTGAGGGACACGTGGGTTTTCTGGAGCCTCAAGGGGCATGACCGGTCCAGGCATCCCTGACAGCTCTCCCCAGCTTTCCTGAACCAACCCAGCAAGATGCTTCTCAGCCTTGAAACAGAGTTGGACACTAGTGCTGTTGGGTGAGATCTGTATCTCTTCACGTGAAAATAAAAAGAAAAATCCCCCTCAGGATGGTCTCCTTATTAAAGGATTGGTTTAATTTTAGATTTCCCTCATCAAAACTTTCCTCTATTCTGTTGCTCCTGGAACTTTTTTAGGCGGAGTCCCGGGGGGATGGTTAGAAGCCCCCTGCAATTCATCATCTCCCCATAATCAGTCTCCCTCATCCCACCTTGTTTCAGGAGACACCCGCTTATGTCTCACAATGTAAGAGGAGAAACCCACCCAGTTCCCAACCTGCGAACATATTGGGAATCTTCAAGACCATTTTGACTTGGAGAAATATCCTCAAGGTTAGAACTCCTCACTTCCATGCTCCCTAATATTCCAGAAAACACATTCTTTGCTGGAGCCCATTCAACTGACCATGGAGGGTGTGATGAGAAATTGAGAGAATATGTAACAACTATGTATACTGAGCATGATCTTCCCCACTGGAGAGTTCTTACAGTCCTTGCCATCATGGTTTTTAACTTCTCTCTCCTTTCCAAGATGACGGCTTCCTTCTGAATTCCCCTCCGGCCCCCTCGTCACCCCCAACCTTACCACAGAGATGAAAAGAGAATTGAATTGGAGGAAGTCTTGATTGTTACTGTGCATTTCTTTTGTTCTATAACTACAAAAACAGCATAATATACACAAATGAATAAAAACTGAAAACTCACTCTTTTTCCCTTTGACGATCCTCATGGTTTAAATTTCCGAAGATTTCCACCACCCTTTAGTGTTTCATATTCATAACAAAGTAATTTCTAGTTCTCCAGATTTAGCTAAGAAATTTCCCAGCTTACAGGGTGAGTTGGGACAGCCTTCCCCTTTAAATCCAATCCCTTCCCATCTCACAGCCTGGACATTTTTAGAGGACTTCAGGCATTACATCTGCAATCACCTATTTAAACTGTGGGTATGGAGGTCTGACTTAGACACCTGGACCTTGGCATTCACAGCA